GCGCCTCGCGCTCCTGCTGGCGGCGCACCCAGGTAGGGCCCGGGCGGAACCGGACGGGATCGCGGAGGGCAGGGAAAGAAGGGGCTTCCACCCTCCGCAGGAGGCCAAGGCGGGGACTTCGGCGAGGGCGCTCAGAGAGAGCTGGGGACCCCACGGCGCGGATCAGACAGGACCGGATCCACTTGCCCTTTCCCGCGCAGGAGCCTCGCGCTCCTGCTGGCGGCGCACCCAGGTAGGGCCCGGGCGGAACCGGACGGGATCGCGGAGGGCAGGGAAAGAAGGGGCTTCCACCCTCCGCAGGAGGCCAAGGCGGGGACTTCGGCGAGGGCGCTCAGAGAGAGCTGGGGACCCCACGGCGCGGATCAGACAGGACCGGATCCACTTGCCCTTTCCCGCGCAGGACGCTGGAGTCTGGGTCCCCCACACCTTCTTTGACCCAAGAGTCCAGGTTCCCAAGTGGCTTCCCCTAGGACACCGAAGACCCAAACCCCTGTGCTGACCAATTTTGAGGGAGCTTGGCTGCCTTCAGGAAAGCTATACCACAGCCAAACCTGTGGTTCCTAAGAGAGTCTCCCCACCCCAAATTCTGAGTCCAGACTCCATAGGGACCCTGCCTCCCTTGGAAGGGGCCCGGAGTCCCAGCCCTGGCAGCGAGGGTGGAACAACGTGTTTCCTAGTGACAGTGCCCCCTGCCTGGGGCCCTCACCAGCGCACACACCTGCACGGTGGTGGGAGGGACAGGAGCAGGAACAGGGACAGGAAAGGGGCTGAGGAAGAGAGGGCATCTGTGCCTTCCTCTGGCTGCCCGCGACTCAGACCCAGGCAGGCACCAGCCTGGCCGCTCCCCTGGATGCCTGGGAATCCAAGCCCCTGGCACAGAGGGGTGAAGGGAGGTTGGAAGGGCTGAGAGTGGTGCCCAGAGGGTGCAGCGTGGTGCTTTTCTGGCAAAAGTGATAAGAGGCAGAACCCAGCCTCTCAGGCCACAAGCGTCGGGCCCTCAACCCTCCTCCCCCAGCACCCCAGTCCTAGCCACGGCGCTGTCCAGAGCCAGGGTGACTCACCTTACACCCGCTCTCTCTGTTAGAGACAGAAGACAGGGGCGCCCAGGGGTCTCTGACGCCAACCGGACAGGTCTCAGCCAGCCTTTCCTTCCCACATTCCTGAAACCTGCCCAGCCCTGTCCCCCGTCACCGTCCCACACACCCATCCTGCCTGGCTCCCGGCCCCCACCACAGCCCACAGCCCAGGCCCCCATGCTCCACAGAGCAGAGCAGCCCCGGGGGCCAGGAGAGATGGGGGGAACGGGTACAAGGAAGGGTTGGGGGAGGCCAGGCAGGGACTGAGACCTGGGTGGGACAGGGGTGGAGGAAGCCAGCCCTGCCCTGCAGAGGTGTTTGCTCTGGTGGGAGAAGCAGGGGCAAACAGGAGCAGCCCTGCCCCGGGACCCTGACCAAAGGCCCAGGGGGAGCTGGCGCTGCAAGGGAGGAAGGGCAGAGAGGCTGCTGGGGTGGGAGAATGGAGCTGAGGCTGAGGGGGGGGGCTGTCCCATCGGTGGCAGTGGGAGGGAACTCAGGTGCTGTCCCCAGGGGTCCAGGCCGAGATGCACGTGTCCGTGCCACCTCTGGTGGAGGTGATGCGAGGAGAGCAGGTCACCCTGAACTGCACCCCCTCGAGCAAGCCTGACCACTTCGTGCTGGAATGGTTCCTGGTGAGAGCCCTGGGAGTGCGGGGCTGGAGGCGGGGGCCTGGGCACACAGCTCATCCCCTCGTGGGGGGCTGGGAAGAGTGGGAGATGTCCCCGCTGCATCCCACTCTACAGACGGGAGCTCCTGGGAGAGGGACAACGCAAGAGCCACAGACGGGACGGGATGGGGAGAAATCAAGTACAGGGGACAGGGACGGAGCGCGAGAGATGGGACCCCAGGAAGAAGAGGCCAGAGGGAGAGACCCCCGGCACGGGGGAATAGAGCTGAACCCCGGCCCTCGCCTGCCACCCCCAGATCGAGCGTTCTGGGGCCCGCCGCCG